GCGCAACGTGTGATTGTGTTGAGCGCGAGCTACATGGTAGCGGAGTGGGGGTATTGGGTTTTATTTTCGTTACGAAATTTCTTGATTCGGTCGCCACACTCAAAGCCCGCGATAAAAGCTATGCAATAGCTGAATAAACATTAAAACTGTTTTTAAAACTGATTTACTGAACTGACTGATGAACTGACCTTAATCAGTAATTTATATTGTTCTTTTTATTTGTGTGATTATTTAATTATCAAGGCATTCCCAAATTCGGAATTAAATCGTTTCGCATGTATACGGACTCGACGTGGCATCCCTATTCAGTAAACTGCCCGCGGCCGGACGTGACGCCATAATACCACTTTTTGCGTGGTCGGTACCTAATTTATTGCTACTCGCTATATATCTGATCTAGTTACTATTATATACTTATACATATTTTTTTCATAGATTTATTTTTGTTTAGCACTGGTATTACAGAGATAGTTACTGGTGGTAAGTACGGCGTCTTTACTGGTACATCAATCAAGTGAATACCACCATCCACCTTGAGATATGAGATCTAATTCTCAAGTGGGCAGGATTATGGTACCCACCCGTGCGGTCTCAGAAACAGATCTACAATCAATAGATCAATTGTAGATCAGAGTCAATAAGGACTTACATTTTGATCTCTCGGGACTCACTTTCTCACTGGACATCGAAGAAACTGTAAACATGTCCATACATATTTTCTTCTCAGTCGTGACAGAGTGGTCGTGATCTTAACAGAGTAGTCGTGATCGTCATGTAGTGTTAGAAGGGGCAGTCTTGATGCGTCTCACGATGTCGCGCCATCTCTCTCTACTCAAGGCCATTCTACTGCACTCATTTAAGGGACCTCCCACTGCTGTTTTAATTTGGTCGGTCCACCGCATTGATGGCCTTCCGCGCGGTCTTGTACCATCAACGCTTCCCTGTACAACGAGGCGTTCTATGGACCGGCCATCTCGTCGCGAAACGTATAGCAAATAGACGCTGCTTGATGCCGAGTTCCTGAAGTATCGAGACATTTGTACGAAAGTCGGTCCACGAAACTCCAAGCATTCTTCTCCAGCACCACATTTCCAGAGCATCTATTTTCTTCCTTTCCACGTCTAAACATACATTTAAACTAGTACAAAAAATTAAGAAGCCCACAGATATACATTCTTAGGTTCCTATAGCTATAAACATCATTTGGATCTGCCATCGGGTAAATATAAGTGGCAATTTCTTCTGCTCTAATTCAATACGAATAAAATCTGCATAAGTTTATTTAAGTACCCGAAACAGAAATGAATGATAAATTTGTTTCCGTCTGAACGTGCGGACTCTATTCGTTTCCACGCTTTCACGGGCAAGTAGCGAATTGGATAAAATTAGATTTTTAGAATATTTCATAAATTATGATAATGATTAAATAATTATTAAATAATTCGTGGGGCTTTTAGGTCCGAAGTGGTGGAGTTTTATTGACTAAAAAGTCTACTAGAAGAATTTTTTACATTAAAATTGTGGAAATTAATGTATGTAATAATTTCGAATAATTTGCTTAATCTGATGTATTATGAAAATATTTTTCAGGTCCTCCGCGTCGGTGCAGTGGCTAAGGCTTCAATCACCCGACGAACATTGTTTTTTTTTTAAATAATGCTTTTTCTAAAGCTTATCCCTCGGAAATTCTCTCAGATACCTATTAAATAAAGTGCGAATAGTTCGCTGCACAATGAAAATCTAAATAACCCGGAGCCATTAAGCCATGCTACGGATTGTACAGTAAAACAATTCATGTCAGAAGCTTTAAGCTTTAAAGCCCCGACGAACTATTTCAATCAAGATTATGTACTGAAACTTTGAATTACGATCCTATTCAAGTTTTGTCGGTAATATAACAAATTATGAAGTGAACTTCTCTTCATTACAACACTAATATATAGTTCCTACAATAGCAGCCACATCATTACAGTTCCGCTTGGTTGGGTATTTCATTCTGTTTGTTTCTGCTGTGAAGCAATCTAGTTGTGTGAAGGACTGTCAGTTGTCATATCCGACACTTAACGTCAATTCGGATGTTCCTGTGTTTGCCCATGCATTCAAAGTTCGACCGAGTTCGACATTTATGCTTAGCTTTTTTCCGTCGCCAAATTGACATGATGCTTTGACTTGAATACTTGAATACAGAGGTCAGAGAGATCATGGGCTTAAATAATTATGAAGTTTGAACAGATAAACTGTGTTTACGTAGTTTACGTAGACGACGTGCTCAGTGTTATCAAATACCAAGGCTGTTTTGTGTACTTGAAAATGTTAAGACCTTAATTATAATTTTTTTGTTTCCTTCCGCTCGATATTTTCATGTTCCCTTGCTTTTGGACAAGCGAGCCCACAGACCATTTAAATTTTGCACCAGATAATAGTACCGACTAACCTGTTTCTAATCTACAATACTAAACATGAATATGTTTTTTAGTAGATCTTCTTCAGTATGAACTGATGGTAGGGCATTTGTGCTCCAGTACATATAGGAGCTATCATTCTATGTCTTTTTATAGGGAAGCAATCAAGCGTTCTAGTGTAAAAGGCTGGATAGCCACAACTCAGTTGAGATTAGATATGTGTCGTTCGTTCAATTTTAGAGATTCAGATCAATACTAACCTGTTGGCAAAACGATCCGGTTCGTACGACCCGTTCAGTCGAACGTTTGCATTATCATTTATCACAACAATTTATGACGTAATTAATATTAGCAGGTCACTGGCTGGATAAAGTTTAGTATTGAATAACAGTTTAAAGAAACTGTTATAGTTCGATAGTTTACGTGAGATCAAAACAATTCGAATGCGTTATATGCGTCATTATGCGACAACGAACGACTAACTGAGACGGACGCGGGGCGAGACCTGGCAACCCGAAATGACCCGAATGATGTCGTATGGTTCTTTTCTTCTGATTCGTAGGTTTTGTTAATAAGCAGATCGTGAGCTTGCTGCACATTCTGAGCATTCTTGAAAAGACGGATAAAGAAATGGCCTTTGAAAGCACACAAACCACCGACTAATCTGTGAGCTTATCCGTTCGTCAACTACAAATACTTTTATGAAAGGGCTATTTGTCACACCTCCAAACATGAGATCTAATTATTAATTAACATATGAACCAGAAACCAGAAACGAAAATAAATTCGATTTGCCAAAGTTTATTTATAGATGCAAGGTTTTAAATGAAAAACAAGTCGAAAATTAAATACGTTTTGCACTGACGTTTTCATTCGTGAAAAAACTTCTGCCAATTATAGCTTAAGGCGTAACGCTCACTAATAACACACTATACAGACGGAAATGAAAATATGCCAAATGTCCCATTCGCTCTGTTATCTTTATAATTTAAGCTACAGAGTGTGGGGAGCTCAAGAGTAGCTCGATTATTTTGAACCTAAAATTTATTTAAAATAAATATTATTATATTTAAAAGGACTACCGCCACCTATTGGTGGTGATCGCCGCTCAGGTGTATAATTATTACGCATTCATTTTTATATGGAAAATAACTCGGATCGCTGCTATAAACCTAAGAAACATATTTTCATAATGTATCACAACTGTATGTCTGCTATACACTAACACTAAGTGCTACATATACTGCCTGCAAAGATAGACAATAAACCAGCCCGCAATGTCGGGGTTAGTCAGCTAAGTTTTAGCACTCTAGAAACATCGTGAGAGCTCATTCAAGAGAAGTATATTATAATGTGTAAGTAATCTTTGAAAATTATTTTCAGTATTTTCCGAGCGCTATTGAATATAATATTAAATATAATACGTCCATCTTCAAAGTAAATTTTAAAGAGAGCACTCAAAGGTAGGCAGCGCGTGGCTAATATCCAGGCATTGCTGATCTCTGCGCGGGAACGGCGACCACTCACCAAAGTGTATGTTTTGTTGTCTTCAAATGATATATAAATGCTCTGTTGTTGTGCTCAACGGTTTCAGAAGGACGGTCGACGAAACAAAACAATTAAAAACTCTATTGTTTTTTTTTTTATACATTTTTGTACTTATGTATATATTTTCTGATTTTGGCTTTTGGCTTTGATTTTCTGGATTTTCCTACAAAAATTCTAATACCATCTAATTTCTATCGTTAAGCGATTATGAGTGCAATTACTCTCATCACAGTACAGTTGAGAGTTCCACCAAACGCTTCATTCTCAGGCCCATCTATGTCAATATAAAATTCTAACAATTTATAAGAAGGCTTTGTTTTATAGTTATATGCTTTTAAGAATGTTGTTAATTTATTCTAGAATGATTTCCGGGAGCTTATTGGACGTTGACGCTAAAAAGAGGTTTCAGTGAAAAGCCAACAAGTATTTTATGTCTCTTTCACACTTTCTCTTTCATGTTGATAGAGTTTCATTCATTCAGTTGGCTCTGGAGCTTTCAATCGTGAACACGTCGCCTGAAAGCTCCAATATGAAAGTTCGCGAGTACCGTCTGAAAAACTTTTTATTTGTGTCATTATAAAAATGAAATTGCTGCCAAATTTGTGTGTTGTGGTCATTAATCATACAAATATATTATTATTCTTCACAAAATATCTTAATGAGTGTTAGACTCTGAAGACTTAACTAAACTTCGAAAGTAATGTAACGGATATGAATGAAACAACTGTGAAGTGAAATTTAAATTACTACATAGACTCCCAAATAATTATTTACCTTACGCAATCTCTCATTATATTACTGCAAATTTAAAAATACGTTAATTAAATGCGTAATAGAATGTACCTGCATTCCTAATTGAAATGCTATAAGTATAATATTCTAGAAACGATATAAATAAATTCAAAACAATAACATCTTTCAAATGGATACACAGTTGAGCGCCAAGCCAAATAAACAATACGGTGGTAGAAGGATTTCCTTTTGGCGAACCTCGAATTGCGAATTTCCAACACAGTGTAGTGCATAGTGTTTTGTGTAATAAAAGAAAATATGACGACAATGGATACTCCTAACTTCAGTCACGTAAACGGGTTAAATCTCTCCGGTAATGTGATTGGCGGTTTGCATTTAGAAACGACTCTGGATATATTTTTCCAGCCCGAACATGTTTTGATAACCCTATACGTTCCGGTCATATTGTTGTCCTTCATAGCGAACATTCTTCTAATAGTCGTTGCAATTAAATGCAATTACACAAAAAAGTGAGTACTTATATGTTTTCTTTAATGTATTTTTTCAACAGATACTATAGGTAGTTTATTTCTTAGACAACAACAGATGAGCTGCGACCTCGTCTCCCCAGTTACAGTAGCTTGATTTTTTTTTATTATTAATTAATTATAATAATATAATAATAATTAATTTAATATTATTTAATAATACGCGGGGGGTAGGGGAAAGTCCTCAAGAGCTACAGCCGAGGCGATAAATAGGAGTAGATCAGCAACGCTAGCTGAGGATGTTTCGCAGAAGACATACGTCACCCAACCTGCGACCACCAAAGCTGGTAAACCAAGAGTGCGCATGAAATGGAGTGATGATATTAACCTATTTATCATTGGCGCACATATTTCTACATTACCTAACTAGAAACGGACAAGACAATGTACTGCTAAAGATTATGCCGCAATATTAAACACATGCCACAATGCAATATTAAACACAAACAATATTAAACACACATTTACTGGTGGTAGGACCTCTTGTGAGTCCGCGCGGGTAGGTACCACCGCCTTGTCTATTTCTGCCGTGAAGGAGTAATGCGTTTCGGTTTGAAGGGTGGGGCAGCCGTTGTAACTATACTTGAGACCTTAGAACTTATATCTCAAGGTGGGTGGCGCATTTACGTCGTAGATGTCTATGGGTTCCAGTAACCACTTAACACCAAGTGGGCTGTGAGCTCGTCCATCCGTGTAGCAATAAAAAAAAAATGCCGTATAGTCCGTCAATTCTTGCAGGAAGGCTTAAATATTCTGCAAGTAGAAAATGAAGCCCACTTGGCATGGGCCCGCGATCTTCATTATACCTAAATGTCTTCAATATTTCGAGAAACACAATACAAAATAATTTAATAATAATAGTTATTATTATTAAAAATAATAATAATAACTTAAAAACTTAACAATTTGACTCGCAATGTAGTGTCTTCTGTGCAATATACTATTTTCTTGTACTATATATGTATATATTCTTCTATTTCTCTGAAATATTTGTTATATTTTTAAGTTGTGTTTAAGTGTGTATATGAATATGTATGTGAATATGTGAGTATATGATAGAGATTATATATAGATATTTATCTGTAAATTTTATATTATTATCATGATATAAAATTGTGTACGTTGTTACGTTGTTGTATGTGATTATATATGTATACCGAGTATGTGTTTGTATATATGAAGTATTATTATCAGTTTGGCTATTTTCACATTAGGTCATGCACCTACCACAGGATTCTCTACACCACCCTTGGTTAACTGGTAGGGAATGCCTCAAGCAATAAGTCTGCCATTGTACTTCTGTGCATTAAGTTAATTAAATAAATAACTAAACATATATACACTTTTTTATTTTTGGAAGAGAGAGAGAGAGAGAGAGAGAGAGACTTTTTTTTAAGCCATCACTTTTCCAGCTGACTTTACAGCCATGGCTTTTCTTGGAGCCGAGCATCCCGATTGAGTCCACTGTTTTGATTGAATTTTGGCGTGTAATACTGAACCCATGTTTCATCAGCTGCTATTACAAATCGACGTGAAAAATCGGCCTTATTACTCTGAAAACGGTCCAGACATTTCTTTGAGTTTTGCAACCGAATCCTTTTTTGATCGAGCGTAAGCAATCGCGGCACCCAACGGGCCGGCAGCTTTTTCATATTTAACTCCTCACTTATGATATAATGTACCCGTTCTTTTGAAATACCTGTAGTGTCAGCTATTTCAGATAACTTCAATCGTCGACCTGCTGATATATTCCGGAGTCGTGACGTTTTTTGGGCGTCCGGGCGGGCTTCATCTTGGACACATGTACGACCGCGTTTAAACTCCCCAGTTTTTTACTGTGGCATAAGAAGAAGGAGCACATTCACCCAAAACATCCTTTAACTCATCATAGACATCTTTCCTCTTCGTGCCCTTCATATGAAAAAACTTTATCACCGCTCTTTGTTAAGTTTTATCCATTTTGAAAACAGTTGACGAAATATATTTTCAAATGACAAAAAATCAATAAAATTTTCACGCCACCAAATCCAGGTTTAGAACACAGGTGGCCAGAGATACGAATTTAAAAATGACTTATATATTTTTTTTTTTATTTTAACATTTTAAATAGGATTGGCTAGTTAGTTAACATCCCGCATATATAGATAGTATATATAGATCTAGATAGATTATAAAGCTGAAGAGTTTGTTTGTTTGAACGCGCTAATCTCAGGAACTACTGGTCCAATTTGAAAAATTCTTTCAGTGTCAGATAGTCCATTTATCGAGGAAGGCTATTATTGGCTAACACCACGATAAGACCAATACAACCGGAGCACCAATAAATAATTTGTTTTGTTTTGTTTGAATTGTTAAAAACTTTCGCTGCGTGCGCTGCGGAAACGATAAAATTTTCGCTAAAATAATCTATGACAAAATTGTTAGCATATTATGTCTATGCTTAAAGGTTGGTTCACTATAACGTTTTTTTATGCTAACCAAATTTGTTCTAAAATAAAGTATTATTTGTGAAGGTGTTTTTATAAAGATGATATTAATCCATATCTAAATAAATACATTATTCATTACAACATTGAAACATCCAAATCACTTTAAACTGCTCTGACAATTATAGATTTTTCTAGATTTCTCCAGGATCCCATCGTCAGATCTTGATGATTACAGAACCATTCGGGAAGTCTACCTTTTCGAACAAAAAAAGAAAAAAGAATTATCAGAATCGGTTCAAGCATTCTCGAGAAATGGGTGAACATACATACACAATAATATATAAAAAAATTATGGTCGAATTTATAACTTCCTCTTTTGAAGTCGGTTAAAAAGCGTGATTTTGGTACCTTAAATAGATCCTTAACATTCTATTATTCAAAAATATTTTCACTTTCTACGTAAATAAAGAGCGGGTAAAATTTAGCGTTATGCCAAAGATAATTATGAGTAATATTGTGAGTTTATGAGTCATATATTTATGAGTCGTTGTGGCCTAAAGGATAAGACGTCCGGTGCATTCGTATGTAGCGATGCACCAGTATTTGAATCCCGCAGGCGGGTACCAATTTTTCTTATAAAATGCGTATTTAACAAATATTCACGATTGACTTCCACGGTGAAGGAATAACATCGTGTAATAAAAATCAAACCCGCAAAATTATTATTTGCGTAATTACTGGTGGTAGGACTTCTTGTGAGTCCGCACGGGTAGGTACCACCTCCCTGCCTATTTCAGCCGTGAAGCAGTAATGCGTTTCGGTTTGAAGGGTGGGGCAGCCGTTGTAACTATACTGAGACCTTAGAACTTATATCTCAAGGTGCGTGGCCCATTTACGTTGTAGATGTCTATGGGCTCCAGTAACCAATTAAAATCAGGTAGGCTGTGAGTTCGTCCACTCATCTAAGCAATAAAAAAAAAAATATTTCACGCTGCCAAAGTCGCGGGCAAAAGCTAGTACTTCTATAATCACAGATTTCTCTAAGACTACGCTTTAGACAAATAATAATAAAGACAAACAATATTCAATCTATTCTCAATTTAACCACATACTATAAGCAATCTATAACTAGTCAGGTCATAAGTATTGTCACACAGTAAAAACTTTTCTTTTAGAATGCTGGCCACAAAAAAGTTTATTGAATTCGAATTTCGAATTGTTCATGAAAATAAAAATGTATACTTTTAGAATTTTACTCATTTTTAAATATGGAGTGGATGCTTAAAGAAGACCGTGTTGCAGTTATTGCGTTGCATCGTTGCGGTTACGCGCCAATTCAAATTTTTAACATACTGAAAATTTTGAATATAACCAAAAGATTCGTTTATCGTACCATCAAACGATACAATGAAGACTCTAGTGTAGATGACAGGTCAAGAAGTGGTCGCCCTCGGTCTGTTAGGACTCCAGCAGTGATAAAAGCTGTNCAATAATGAGAGAAACGCGCGATCAGTACGAGGCTTTGTGGCGGACTGCCGGCGCAGCAGCCCGGCGTCACCTGCGATAACGCGGCCGCGCGTTGGCTCCTGATTGGCGCGCGCACGCATCACGCAATCAGGAGCCAATCAGGCGCATAACGCATTTCGTGTGACATGCTAGTACGATTTTGGTCCCCATAATTTTCATACCCCGGGCCTATATATGTAAATCGATTCTAAAGGAGTAAACTCCAAAAAAACTATTTCACGCTGCCAGAGTCGCGGGCAAAAGCTAGCACTTCTATAATCACAGATTTCCCTAAGACTACGCTTTAGACAAATAATAATAAAGACAAACAATATTCAATCTATTCTCAATTTAACCACAGACTATAAAGCAATCTATATATTAATACGTGAAGCAAAAACTTTGTATCCCTTTTTACGAAAATTGCGCGGACGGAGAAGTATGAAATTTTCCACACTTATAGAGAATATAGAGAAGAAGTGCACAATGCTAATATTTGTTTAAAATAATGCGTAAAACATACCTTAAACAATAAAGAAAACATTACACACACTACATACCATGTATTTGACGCACACACGCATGCATACTATTTATTGCGAAACTTTTGTTCTTGACGTCTGTGGTCAAATTGAGAATAGATTAAATATTGTTTGTCTTTATTAATATTTCTTATAGTGTAGCCTTGGCGAAGTTTGGGAGTATAGAAGTATAAAATACAATCCTAATAGTGTACAAACTTATTATACAATTCCAATTAATTATAGTCGAATTTCGACTACTGCGGGACCACTAGTAAGAAAAGTTTGACAATAAGCAAATAGTATGCATGCTTGTATGTATGTCAAATACATGGCAGTGTATGTTATGTTTTTTATTGATTCAATGTAATTTTATGCATAATTTAAAAAAATATTAACATTCTGCATTCCTTCTCTAAATTCTTTACAATTGAGGAAAATTGCATACTCCTCCGTCCGCGCAATTTTCGTAAAAAAGAGTCCAAGGTTTTTGCTTCACTTATATACGAGTACATTACTTGGTATC